GATGGCAGGAGCTGGAGCATGGACGGGAATTCACCCTGTCGCGTGGCACTTGAGTCTCGAACCTGGGCTGCCGGCTTTCCAGCCAACAAATAGGATATACATATATACACAAAAATATGGAACAGGGGAGAAAAGATGTGCTCTGCTGGCCAAAAATAATTAATGGAGGAAACTGGTTTTAGGAGAGAGAAAGGAAACAAAAATCCTGAGGCAAAGCAGCACTGAGAGCTCTCCGAGTAGGCCATTTTCTGCTTTATATTTCAAATCACAGTTCTTGAAATCAGTCATTCAGAATGGTGGGGAGGGGGGGTTGAGATAGATATGGGTATATTGAACTTCTGTAATAAGACTATCAATCTACTGGAAGATCGATACTATGTCAGAAGAAACACAAAATGAATGATGAAAAATTAAGACTAAATAGGTGAATATTAAAAAAATTAAAACTTGGCACACATGCCAACTTGAGAGAAGGGAAGTGGTTAGTTTTCCTGCTAACCTGGTTCCACCAATCCCTGCCCTGAAACTATGCTGCCTTAAATTGTGTGAGTACAGCAACACTGCCCATTGTTGAGACACTATAAAGATTGGGGATGGGCAGTACAACTTATTTCCCAACTCAAGGATGGCTAGCAAATATATTATAGTGATTGTGGGGAAAAGCCTGAGGTTGTTGAGTCCTGACATAAAACGCTAAGCATCCTTGGTGTTAACACTGGTGAGCTTTACTTGGCCTAGTGTGTAATGCAATACAGCCTGTTTGGTTAGAGTATAGATCAAGATATGGTACCTCCCAGAGAGTGTGGTTAGGGGAATTGTGTAATTGCAGCTGTTGCAATGGTAGAAAATTCCTCCGCAAGTTTCCCCCCTTGTTCCGTTGAATAGAAGAAAATATGTTTTCAAAAGTCTTTCAGAGAAGAGAATTTTACGCTTTTGAACAGAGCAGGATGTTCTTGCCTTTATTCAGGGACAAGACAACTGAAAAATGTGTTTGAATGTCCTGTCTTCCATTGTGCTATAATCAGCCTAGCAGTCTGCAGCTGCTTTTAGGGTTAAATGGTAAGGGATTTATGCTTCCATTAAATCCCAAGAGAAGACAGCATGATGACACAGCTCTTCCGGGTTTTTTTAAAGCAGTGGTACGACCAGTAAGTACTAAATCAGATTCCTGTCCTTGAGCAATAATCTGAGAATTTCTCTTTCCCCTGGATAAATTCAGAGAAATGTTCTCTTCCCCAGTCCCTCTGCCCACACATCTGGTGGAGAATTTGGAAAAGCCATTTGGATCCAGCTCTAAATTTGTCTGCCTCACTAAGCCAAATTCTAGCTGCATCTTTCCAAAGTCAAGTTTGCAAAGTTGCCTTTGGTTATTATTCAGACCATACAGTCAATGTTAAATTGAATTAACTCATTTCTGCCCTCTGAAGCCAAAACGGAGAGGACGAAATGCATTTACGGAGCGCTTTACTAAGCCAGATGTTGCGTCAAAATGCAGAAGAAAATCAGCACAGCAAAGAAAGTTTTGTGGAGCACTCACAAAAAAAGTCAGCAAGTGGGTAGGGCCACGTACGAGAAGACAATATAACAGATGGTAGCTGCTAGTGGATCCTGGCTGATCTCAGAGCAAATAAGCAGGACCAGATCTTGTTAGCCACTGAATGATGAACATCATTGCAAGAGAACATCAGGAAATCCTAGGACGGAGGGATAGATTGGAAGATTGAAAGAATCCTAACTTTAAAAAAAAATGCTGAGATTTTCTTTTTCTAGACTATCAGTCTACAGGTCTGCTTTGTCTTCTTTGGGGATGGGATGGGAGCAAGGGGATGCCTTTCCAAACAAAACAAAGGTGTAGATATCAACCATTTTTTATTTTTGAAAATGAACCCAAAAACATAGGTGGAAATAAAGATAATATCGGGTGCCAATGTCTTGCTCTCCAGATATTTATTTCATTTTTAAATATTAAAAATAGGAAATGTACCCTAAAAAAATTGATCAAAAAGCTTAGTTTGTGCATAAACTGCAACCCCTGAACACCATGTTGCAACTCCAGTGATAGTTCAATGTCAACATTTTTTGGACTGCTGGATCAAACTGGACATTCACATATTTAGTAGTACTATATTTAGACTCTTAGAAACTTTTCTTGGTCACTATCTTTAACATGCCTAGCTCCTTTAAGAGAAGCTGCAGGGTAAAAGCAAGGCGAATATATATAGACTTGTGTCAATCCATCAATGACACATTTGTGATACTAGTTTTGGAACAGTTAATCTATTACAAAGTGAATATAAATGAGTAGTGTGAGGTGGCTATATATAAAAGAAAACTATGTTTGTTTTTTTTAAGTTTGTGCCTGTATCAAAGAGTTTCCAGTCTCCAGTCCACTTTCTTTTTCACTGGGCAGATCCCTTCTCCAGTATTGGATTCAGTTCTGGACACCGTACTTTAAGAAAGATTCAGGGAAACTGGAAGAGATTTGGAGAAAGGCACCAAAGATGATCAGAGGCCTGGAACCTAAACTATTAATTAATTAGTTTATATTTCATATTTCTTAACTGCCCATCTCTTTCGGAGAGGAGCTCTCGGGGGGGGGGGGTGAGGAGAGATGGAAAGACCAAAATCTTGAGCCTTGAAACAAGACCAGTGAGAAGAAATTGGACAGTACTGTTTAAATACCTAAAACTATATTACAGAAAGGTCAAGACCTCTTCTCCACCATTCCTGGATAATGTACAGAGAGGATCATGGATTTAAGTTACAGGAAAGCAGATTCTGACTGAACGTTGGGGGAAACGGTTTTTACAGAAGAGCAGTTCAACAGTGCAACCAGTTACCCCAAATGGTGGATTTCTTTTTTTCCTGAATGTGTTTAAAGGGTATCTGAACTTGGATTTCAAAAAGCAGAAACAAATCAGCTTCCTTTTAATAAAATTGGTTTGATGCTACCAGACTCCTGATTTTTGACTAATGCAGTTCTTCTCCTACAGTTTGATTCTAGATGTCTGCTCAGAACAGGAGTTGGACTTGAAGGCCTCAATGGTTCCTTCCAATTCTGTTTCTTTGATTTAAGAATGCAAATGTGAAACAGCCATTGGTCAAGATCAGTGTTTTCCTTGGCACAGTCTGAATGGGAAATGAAAGGTTCAAAACAGTGTCTCCCAACATTGACAATTTCCAGGAGGGTGAACTTCAATTTCTAGAATACAACAGCCAGCACAGCCATTGAGAATACTAGGAGTACAAGTCCACTCACCTAGAACTTGCTAGGATTGGGAATGATTGACCCAGAAATTCTCAGCCAGATATGGCCAACTAACAGGGATTATCATTTCATTTTCCCTCTTCTTCAAAGAACCACTCCTTCCTCCACTAAGTGTGATTTTCCAGCTTGTTTTCATTTAATTATTGGAAGTGGGAGATGAGGGAGGGTGAAGACAAGAACAGCTGTGAATAGACACAGAGACAGCAATACTGCAGGAGCTTTTCAGACTTGATCCCAGCCTGCTTCTTTAAAATAAAAAAAGAAAAGAACACTTATTAAAACAAACATCAGTCTCACTTTGAGGGGTAAAAGAGTTCATGAAAAGAGAATGGTTTACTATGCATTAAAAATGTCATTTAGTAAAACCATGGATAGAGTCATTAGCAAGCAACAGAGAGAGAGGGGGGGGAATATATCTATCTCCGTGGGTGATTTGGAAAGTTTCTACCTTTCAGAGTTATCAGGGTATAATGATAAGGATTTAATAAGATTCTGTCCCAGGGTCTTTAGCTTCTCAAGGAAGAGGGAAGCCAAAGGCCCTGGTAAGTGTGATAAGTAAAAATATTATTTTTTTTAAAAAAAAGCTGACCTTCTGATGGTTTCATGGATACATTTGTATCGTTTTTGGCAATAAAATACAAGTAGTTTGCCATTGTCCATATCTAAGCTCAGCATATTCTGGAGAGGTCAAAAAAGGCAAGATGGCAGCCTCACCCCTTTTGCAGTTGTATTAACATTGACAATGCACATTGATAAAGGGGTGCATTTGCCACTGTCTTGTTCTTTATGATCTCCAACCCCACCATAGCAGACAATGCTGTCCGATAAGCTTTAACAACTTCCTGATCTAACTCAAAGCCTAGAGCAGGGGTCTTCAGACTTGGCCCTTTTATGACTTGTGGACTTCAACCTCCAGAATTCCTCAGCCAGCGTGCCTGGCTGAAGAATTCTGGGAGCTGAAGTCCACAAGTCATAAAAGGGCCAAGTTTGAAGACCCCTGGCTTAAAGTGAGGCCAATAACCTTTCCCCCCCAAATTGCTTTTGCACAGGCATAGGATTTTAGCATTGGCAGCCCAAACACTCAGGCAAGCACAAAAAGAATGCTTGGGCTGGCAGAAATGTGTATTTAATTCAAAGTAATTATCCCAATGGGGGGGGCACAGGATACAGTCCAAAGAATCAAGATTGTGTAGCTCTGATTATCATCATCTTGACTTTTTAAAATCATAACCTATAGACACTTTTCCATCTAAATATGTTGCTGCTTCTGTCCAGTCTGTACAGGTAGTTCTCAACTTATGACCACAATTGACCCCAAAATTTATGTTATAAAGTGAGACATTTGTTAAGTGAGTTTTGCCCCATTTTATGATCTTTCTTGCCTTAGTTGTTAAGTGAATCACTGCAGTGGATAAATTAGTAACATGGTTGTTAAGTGAATCTGGCTTCCCCATTGACTTTGCTTGTCAGAAGGTCACAAAAAGTGATCACATGATCTTGGGACACAGCAACAGTCATAAATATGAACCAGTTGCCCAGCATCTGAATTTTGATCAAACAATCATGGGGATGATACAAAGATTGTAATTGTAAAAAATGGTCATAAGTCACTTTTTTCAGTGCTGTTATAACTTAGAACAGTCATTAAATGAACTGTTGTAAGTCGAGGACTACCTGTACTTAATTGTGTGACTGATCAAATGAAATATTTCATGTAGCCTTTTCTTTATAGGGAGAAAGGAATTCTTGGTAATCTGGGACCTCCGTACATCTGGATTGAGCTTCATGGAGGTGCTTGAATGTCAACATCACAACAGGAATAATTGCCAACTAATCTCCAGTTAAATGATACAATACATTTTAATGTAGATGCCTAATCATATAGGAATATAGATTCTTAAAAATCCAAATAGCATTGTAAACCATTGTAAACAATTAGCTTCTGGTACAGAAATCTGCATTTTTGTCTATTTCAGCTGTATGAAATTTGTTTTCAAAATGGCCACCCACATTTTCTTAAGATTCTCTTAAGAACATCTAACAAAGGAAGATCAACCTTAGGAAGATCACCTAAGGCAGGTCTGTTCCATTGTTGAACAGTTCTTATCATTCAGACATTTTTTCCTGATGCCCAGCTGCAATGTACTTCCTTGTAAATAAACCATTGTTTTCTGTCCTGTTTTCTGAACAACTATGACTAATTCTATCCCTCTTTTACATGATGGTCATTCAGGTAGAGATATTTCTCACGTTACATCTATTCATTCAATGACCATTCAAAGTTAAAGGGGCACTTATGACGGGTTTCAGAGTTGCATCAGTTGCAGCATCTCACGTGATTATGGTCACGTGATTGTGATTTGGTGTTTGGCAACCAGCTCACAATTGCAACATTGCAGTGTCCCACAATCATGTGATCACCATTTGTGACCTTCCCTGCCAGCTTCCCATAAGCAAAGTCAATGGGAAAGTCTGAGGGAAGTCACACAGTAAGTTGCTCCTACAAGTTGCTGTTCCGTGGGTGGTAGGAGGATACTGCCCTCCATAGCTCCTCTCTACACTTCATAGGACTCATCCAGCCTCTCACACCCCTTCTTGCACCCACCCGTAACATCCATATGTGACTGCCTATGAAGGCCATCTGCTGAGAAACTAGTGAACTTCCTTGTGCAGTTGTTGGCCACTCTGAGATTAGACTGCAGGACTACATGGGCAATTGGTCTGCTTATATTCTTCTGAAGACAATTCAAGTTTCTGCAAACTTTTGTTCTCCAGACTAAACTCATCTGATGCCTCCAACCATTCTTCATATGGTTTTCCTTTCACTCTTTCATTCTTTATATGGTTTTCCTTATCATCTCAATTGCTCTTCTCTAGACATGCTCTACTTTGTCAATATCTTTATTAAGCTGTGCGCCCAGAATTGGACACATTGTTCTGAATGTACAGTAGATTGATTAATGAAGAATGGAGAGGAACAATTATTTCTTTTTGATGTGCATATCAATGACCTCACTTTCACTGTATTACAACAGTAGTCTTCTATACTTCTATTAAATCTCAAGAAATGATGTAATGAGAGAACTCATTTTGGGCTTTTCAATGGTAACTCAAGTGCCATTACTAAGGGAAGACCTGTCCTTGAGAAACTCCCTTTTTCCTGGAAAAGTTCAGAATAATTGCCTATTCAATTTCTCTGCTGCTGAATTTGGTGAAGAATTCCAAAAGGCAATTTGCACTCAGCTTTATATGTATTGAGTAGGATTTAGAGACTTCCATGCACAAAGAATGTTTCTAAGTAGAGTTGGACTTAATTTGTTGACTTTTTCTTTAACACCAGCCATTCATGGATTGCAACTCTGAAGAGCCTCTGTTTGATGGACTGTCTTATGCAAAGAGAAATGAACCACACACAGGAGAGATCTGAAAAGCTTCACATGTGCTGGGAGCACAGGATTCAGGACTCTAGATATTGAAATATTGTTGAGATTACAAATCCTACTAACAATTTTCAGTAGTAACTCAGAGAAGAGCTAAAGAGAGTTTCCTGCAACTCTCTTAGCTTTCCATGAAGGTAACAGCAATTCTAGCATTACAAACTAAGTTTGCAAAAAAAAAAAAAAGTGAATGAAAGATATAAATCAATGATGTTCAACTATCTGGTATTTGAAAGTTCTTCTAAGGTCTAAATAACAAAGAAGTCAGTCAGGATCACAACAAAATCTAATTTGATTTAATTTTAAATTTCATGGAACACAGTTCAAAAGTTCATTCTTAATAGATTTAATTCTCCCCTCTGTTGCCATATTCAAAATAATAACCTAGCTCCATGAAGATTTTAAAGTGGTTGTGTATTGTGCGTTTGATCTGTGGTCTCAGGTAGTTCTTTTGAGTAATAATGAGTTTAGAATCCAAAATACAGATCCAAAATATACATTAAATTTATGTAGGCCTTGTTGTCATATATGGAAAATATTTATGGCCTGATTTGGCAAGCTCATTAATATATAATATGATTTCTTTATATATGACTTAGCAGACACATGGACCTCTCCTTCTTATCAATGATGATGTTACCTAGTTCGGTAATGAAACATTTGCAAGAAAACCACCGAGTTTAAAATGCACCCACAGTTTTTAGTGGCAATTTTTGGCAGGTTTGGGTAACAAAGACTGTAACCACCTAAGATCCTCCCATCAAAATTGACTGGCAAAATTACTAAGTTTAGATGCCACAATGTTGGATTTTTGAGAGTAAGTAGGGATTTTTAAGGATGTGAAAGCGACCAGTTTCTTTCTAAGTGTCCTTTTAGGGTGATTAGGATGGGAATCATAACAAGAGGACTTTGAAAAACGACCAACCTCAAAGAATCTCCTCCCAAAAGAAAAATAGACCAAAAGAAAGCAGCCTCATCCCTTTCCAGGGATGTCATTGTGTGGTCAGAGAGACATCTGCAACTTTGTGAAAGATCAAGAGACTGCATTATAGCATATGATTTTTCATAGGTAGTACATCTTTGATTTCTGGCTGAAAACAGTGCAGGAACTCAGGGAAACATGGCTAAATAAATATTGAAAAACACAGAACCCAGAGGTTGTTCCTCATCACTCTTCTCCATTCTGGTACCCATGATGCACTGGACTACAATCCCAATATTACTCAACCAGCATGGCTTTGGACATAAACTGATAGGAGGAACTAATTGGAAAAGCTAATTTTCTATGACTTTGAATTAAGAGCTATCATCTGTGGTTTCACCAGAATAGTTCTCCTGGAAGTTTTTTTTTTCTTTCCAAAATATGATTTATAAAATGAAGCGTATATATGTATTTATTTATAAGCATATATGTCTTTCTTAGAGAAAGTCCAAGTCTGAGACTTAACTTTCCCGTGCTAACAGAGTGGTTTGTTGATAGCAATAGCTAAGAAATCCATTTGCACAGAGTATAGCACCCAAAACGTCTGCTCCTAAAACCTCCATGGTTTCTTTAGCCCTGTTACAGCAAGTGAAGAGTTAATTACAACCTCAAAGATTTCCAGTAAATCCTGTTAATGTAGAGTGCTTGATTCCTGTTCAAATATATACTCTGTTAGGAACATGGTGAGATAAAGCTTCAGCCAACCAACCAGTAGGGACTGAAGATTCTTCCTCCTTTTTTTGTTTTTACCTATCAACCACATGTTGCAAGTACAGTTCAGTTTAAATGTACAAGTACGGTCTGACCTTTTCAAGATCACAGGCTGTTGCTCTGCAAAGACAAAGATCAAAGGTCGAAAATGTTTGCAAGGGCACAGACTCTTCTTTTTATTGTTTGCTCAACCTAACTCATTTCTTTTGGAGCTGGTTGACACCGGCAGGTTAGATTCCATGTGCCTGAATAAAGTTTTCCACTGAGCAAAATTCACATGGAGATGCAATCTCTATAAATCACACAGGGGAGTTCTCTTGTATTACTGCAAGAATGTGCATAGCTACGAAAAATGTATATTAATTAAGGCTATGCAGTGTGCTTTTGGCCAGTTCCAGAATAATGCTTAGGAGTGCATGAGAACATGAACTTATCTGCCTGCAACGCTTTACACTGGGGTTGTGCTATTTCTAGGATTGCATAGAGATTGTTTTACAGATGCTCCCAAGCTAGTTTAACGAGCTGCTGATAGATACTATTTCATGATATTTTATGTTCCAAATCTCCTCTTTGGAACACAGTCTTAAATGCTACACAAACAATATTATAGGTCTCCTTAACGTATGACCGTCTAAAATGTATTTAAGATCACCAAAGATAGGCCAGGGTAGAACAAAATTATAAGGCTTTAGCCAGCCTTCTTCAACCAAGTATTTTCTAGATAAACTGAGAATACACCTCCTCTCGTTTGTAGCCAGTATGGCTTCTTAACTTGGAAGAATAAGAGTTGTGATCCCAGAATTATATCCAACAATATATAATTATTGCCCAGGGTACATTTTGCCAACTCTTGAAAACCTGACCTTCTTTAGGCTGATTCATATGTAACTGAAGTATTGTGCCTCACTAGTAATGGTTTAATATCACAAATCATAGCTTATTCAACTAACTATGGCTTAAAACACCTTAGTTTAGCATTATGTTTGGTAATCAACAGACATTGGGATGAATACTATTTCCACCCCTTATTTTACTTACCGTAGGCTTCAAACTTCATTTTTCCATTTGATCTACTATCACTGTGCTAGGACGTCAACCCTACTTTCCCTGTGGTAGCTAAATATTTCTGCCTTTGTTGTTGTTATCTACTAATATTTGTCAATCTTTTCTATCCTTGTGGACTTATCAACACCCCATTTTTTTTCTCTAAATATACTCCCATCCCAAATCTTAACATCTTTTGGAAACTTCAGCTCATATTGCACTCTTCCTATGAGTCTGACTCTTTTAGGGAATCAATCCATTCGCCTTGTTAGGATCTGTATTGGGGCAGCAACACATGGCATTTAGGCATATTTCCAAAATTGTTGGAAAAACAATGCAGAGTAACCCTTGCTGTTTCCTCTATTTATACAGGAAATTAAAAGGGCACACACCTTTTAATACCAGGATGAGTTGGATGGGATCAAGAACCATTTCTGGATGGAAAGTTCTTATTTTTTTCTTCTTACATTTAAGAACTGCAGGCTGGTGACCAGTAACCAATGGAGGGGATTGACATTTACAATTTTTTGGGGGGTCAATTTGGAAGGAGATGAAGGAGAAAATGCTTGCATAAGTCTTGCAATGGTTTCACATCTATTTCATCTCCTATTTTGGTTGAAAAATGAAAGAGAAATGGTGAACATTTGGTAATTTTATCACCAAATTTTAACAGTGATGAGGCAAGGTGGAACACAAAATAGGGCTGGGGTATATTGGATCATTGGCCATGCATTACCATCCTCTAAAGAAGGACATACTACAAAGACCATGAGTCTTTTTGTGTCTAATTTCCACTTGGCCCCATGCACTCATCTTTCTTCCATTCTTTCTTTCTATCCACAAGCATAAAGAGACTTCAGTCTGTTGCTTTCATTTTTGTGGTTCTTGTGCAATCAATAATCCACAATCCCTTTATAATAAGGGAAACCAGGGGATTTTTTTGCCTCCTGCAATCCCCCTTTCTAAGGCCAATGTTTTTCTGTGCAGGAGAATTCTGGGAATTGACATCCATCCACA